AAAAATATAAATAAATAAGTAATTAAATAAATCTTGGACTTATCTTTTTTATTTATCGAAAGAAAATTCTATTCATTACTCAAATAAATACATGAGAAATGCATTAACTTCATGGCAAGGCAAATATGACAAAGCAAATAAAAATAGAGCAAAGCCCAGAATACTGCAAAACTAAATCAAAACCAGAAAATAAGAATGATCAACAGAGTACCAGTAAGGTTAAGCACACATTTGTTCCATAAAACGAATATGTCAAGCAAAATAATTGACAGCCGATTACTAGATTTTGTATCTTCGTCAATGATGAGCACTCGTTAGAAATTTCTTCTCCAATAACTACGGTGAGGGGTGAGCATGGTTTCAGAGTAGAATATGGAACCTGAGAACCTGACTAGTGGGAACCTGTAGATTCCAAGGTATGTAGAGTAGATTCTAAGTTCCAAAAATTGATAAACTTGTTTCGACGGGTAAGTTCTAGGTTCCAGGTTCCAGGTTCCAGGTTCCAGGTTGGTTGAACCTTGTCACGACCTGCCAAATTTTCTTCGAAGAGTGAAAATGGCGTAACCTGGTACGCGCTAAGTCTAGGTCTGGGATTTAACTTGGGCTCTCCCAAGCCCATATCATATCGCGACTTATGGTTTAAGTTTTTAACCTACAAGTGATTTTTATCTAGGAGTCGCCACTAATCAATTTGGGGTGAGTCGATTAGAAACCCAAGTAAGGTGACGGGAGAATCACCCTACTCTTACGAACCAAAGATAAAATGAGTTTAGGGACTTTGTTACACTAGTTGAGTGACTAGTGCCATTTCAGTACCTTTCATCCTTTTCATTTGAGAAAATATTTGTCAGGCAGTTTGGATTGATTTTAGGACATATCTCCTAACATGTAAGGTGATCAAGCAAGTGCACAATCATTAAATTAACGATGAGCGGTCAAGATAAATATGAAGCCTAGAGTTCTAATTCTAATTAGAACATGCATAATAATAATACAACGGTAGTAAAGATAACATGCAAAAATCCTATCATATAGCCCCATAGGCTTATCCGATTTAGACATAATTATTAATCAAATAATTCTCATAATTTTAAAAAATATTCAAAAATACTAATTTTTAAACTATTTCCTAATAATAAAAAAATGCAATTTTTTTGTTTTTTAAAATATTTTTTATTTTTTAAAAAATATAATATAATATAATATAATATTAGATCGGGTCAGGTCGGCAGATCCGGATCTAGTCGGAACTGACCCGGGCCAATGGATCCGACCCAAAGTCGTTGACCCGGGTCGGATCTCTGGATCCGAACTGGGTCGGGGGTCAACTCAGGTCTAAACCAGATCGGGCCAGGTTAGGGCCCGGTCTGATGGAAAAAGAAAAAATAGGATCGGTTTGACCAGGTCAAACCAGCCCTGTTTGGCTTGTAAATTCGGCCGAAGCCAGTTCTTGCTTGCAGAGGCAAACGAGAGCATCGGCCGGGCGAGATCTGGCGATTGGCCGGTCATTTCGCCTGGCCGTTGGCCTCGGCTGTCTCGGCACCTGGGGCTGAGGTGGACCCCTTCTGGCCGACCTAGGTGACCGGTCACGGTGGCCGCCAGCCGAGCTCCGACCAGGGCTCTTCAAGCTCAAACGTTGGTCAAAGCTTGGCCGGCAAACCCAGGCCAATTTTTGGTCACCTTTGGCCTCCCACGACCACCACAAGGCTATCCACGAGGATCACAACTCATCGGACACTTACCTGTTCGCCGGCGAAAGCTAATACCAAACCGGCCTCACTAAGGCATTTCACCATACGTACGGTGTTCACGACTAAAACAAAGCAACCTTGACATGTTCAGAGGCTCCAGCCTGCTCCGACAGCCACTACTCACCTTCGAAGACAACATACAGACCAGAAGCAGAGTCAGTATGGGCCGGAACTCGCGCTGGGGATTCGCGCAAAACGGCCAACGCAAGTCCCGGCCAAACTGTATACAAGAACAGGAAAAAATAGAGCAGTTAGGGGGTCAAGAAAGTTTACTAGTCGGAAGCATGTCTGGGGAGATTGCCAACTAATCCGCAAGCAACGGTAAGGCTTCGGCTTCCCTTTGGTCCCTACAACCCTCAGTTCTCACTTTTTACTCTCAATTTCTCTCAAACTCTCTCTTAATCTCTCTTTCTCTCTCCACTCTGTTTTTTGCTAGCCCCTTTCTCTCTCTTCTCCGCTGCTTATATAGCAGCCGCCGGCTGCTTGCCTCTGCTCCTATCTCTTCCATTCAATGCTCTGCGCCGGCCTTTGCTCCTGCTCAAGACTTTCGTGGCCAGTTTTGCGGTGGAGCGGGTTATCCACGTTGTCCCAGGCAGTGGTCGGCTGCAGGGGAGAAGGGAGGAGGAGAGAGGGGAGAGAGGCCGGCTGTGGGGAGGAAAGAAGGGAGCGGGCTGGGCCGAGCCCAGCTCGAGGCGTGAGGAAGGGAAAGAAAAGAGGGAGTGGGCCGGGCCTATGGAGAAGAAAAGAGAAGGCCGGGTCGACCTGGACCCGACCCACCCCAATCCGAATTTTTTGTAATTTTTAGTTTTAAAAAAAAGTAAAAGAGGAAAAATATATTCTAATATTGTGAAATGCATCTAATGTCTACATGTAATGCAATTAAAATTAAAAATATTTTTTGTTTTAGGAATTAAAATTTAATTCCTAAATTTTGCATAATTAATTTTTGGGAAAATTAAAAAATAGGTGTTAACAAACCTAGAACCTAAAACATGAAATCTTAAATAAGTTTTTTGTGTTTTTTCTTAGTTTATGTCTTTGCATGATCCTACAATGTTCCATGGCGTTAAATGATAAGTATATAATCTAGAACCACTAGTTTGAGCTTTCATTTTATAACTTGTTAGTATTTCATATTCTTCATATATCTAAATATAAGTTATGTTTAATAGATCGTTGCAATAAGTGATGATCATTAAAAGTGATGATTCACTGTAATTTTTCAATTAATAATACAGGTAAAATCTATGTAGACTTTGGAACCGATCTTGGAACTTGTAACAGGATAAGTTCTAGGTTCTAATGTATGTAAGATAAGTTCCAGGTTCCAAAAAATGAGAAACTTGTTCCCATGGGCAGGTTCCGGGTTACAAGTAGAACCGCTCACCCCTAACTACGGCATTGCTAATTGGCGATGTGCACGTAGGTTCAACTTCCTCTAAACCATAGCCTTAAGGAGACAACAAAAACATATTAAACAAATACAAATCTGACATTTAGAAGAGCAAATCTTCTTAGTTCAACAAGATGTCAAAGCTCCTATGATCACCATTGAAATTGGAAGAACCTCCGAATCTAAATCAAGAGAGGATAGCTGCCAAATCTAGAATTAGATCGGGAGAGTTCAAATTCTCGAATCAAGAACTATATCGAGAGAAGAAAGCTCCCATATCCAAATCGAGAAACTATGAAAAAAAAAACAAGAAAAGAAAAATAAAAACACAAAGAAAATCAACAAGAGAGGGAGGGGAGGATGAGACTAGGCCAAACCCTTCCATGGCTGAATGTCGTAGAAGATAATGGAGAGATGAGAGACAGCAAGAGAAGAAGATTTTTTTAATATTACTTTATGGGCTCTTGGACTTATCTGAACGTGAAAGAATTTCTGGTAACTCTTCGTTCATAAGTAGATTCAAAGACACATTATTTGAATTAAGTCATGTTTTATGCAAAGACGCTATTCTTGAATGGGCATACTATCTCACAATAGATATTAGGCGTGAGCGGTTCTAGGTTCTACCTAGAACCAGCTAATTTCTTTTCTTCTTTTTTTTCATTTTTAATTAAGCAAAATAAAAATGAAAGTAATAACAAAAATGAAAGTTTCTTATTTGTCAATAGCAACAATCCATTAAAGATAAACAAGTAAAATAAAATAAAAAATAAAAGGTTCAAAACACGTAACATAAAGCTTAGATTATCGAGCTTCAGTCCTCAATCATCCATGAAAAATTGCTCCAAATTCTAACCACCTGAAATCAAAAGAAAAAACAAATGTAGTTAATCACTTAATAATAGTTTTAAATTAAAATTACTGTTGATTGAATTAAAATAATTATTAGAAAGCCTCACCACATATATCCAAATTTATCAAAGAAAAGATAAACCCAAATTTTCTTAAGGAAAAGTAAACCCAAATTTATCAAGCTTATGGCATGTCTATATATGGAAACTTGTCCACGAATTCCTGGGTCTGGAGTGCTGTAGTTCACGGTCGGTAAGCATTGTTTTATTTCATTTTGGTCAAGTTTTCTATCATTGAGTGCCACCTCTCGTATCATGATTTTATATCCTGCCTTAATAAGTAGAAAATTGGCTAACAAACCATCACCGTTACTTAAGAACTTCGAACATAGGGAACAGCCTTTGCTTTTAACTTTAAAGCAAGGAGAACAAATTCTAGGTTTTTGTAGGTTCCTAGTTCCCGGAAGAATCAGGAACCGGAGGTTCCTAAAAATGTGGAACCGAGAACCGGACCAAGTCTCAACAGAACCTGGAACTAGATCGGTTTTCATCAGTTGGGTTCTCCGGTTCTCGAATTTACCCCCGCACCATGCCCACCCTTAATAGATGTAACTCTTGACAAATTGGTCCAGTTCCCGATTTTATCCCGTAACCATGCTCACCCTTAATAAATGTAACTCAACTTTAAAATTTAATTATGAAGCAGATTAATTTATAACAATAATAGTACGACAACAGTTTTCAACGAAAAGTATAAATTGGTTTGAAGTATTGTATCTTGCGATGACACAACTGTGTTGAGGGTAAGCATAATTATAAATCCAGGAAAAAAAACACGAAGCGCCTTTTATATTTATAGCTACTTAATTAAAAATAAATCTCTTTCGTAATTTCGAATGAAAAACAATTGCAGTTTTTTCAAATTGGGTTGGAATTGTCGGTCAAGGAAAAGTTGGTGTTTTTTTTTTTTTTTTGAGTTAGCCCTAATGTTTGGTAGATTGCATTATATAATGCCACATGACCGTTACAAAAACTGCTGAGAAGTCCAGACAGTTAGGCAGACATAGTGGAAAGCTGAAGCAATTTGGCTATGAAACTGAGACTGACGTTGAGGGCTAATACCAGACGCCTTCGCTCCCTTCCTCTGTTCGATCATCGCCCATTGCTCTTCCTAGATTCTCGAACCCCGGCAACCTCGAACCCTCCTAGCTTGGAGCTCGATGGAGTTCGGCATCGGTGCTGTCGCTCTCCCCTTGTTCGCCGCCCGAGGCCGGAGACGGCGGCGGCAGCGGAGGCATTCCACGCCGATGCGATCAAGAAAGGGTCCATGCGGAATGCGAGCGTGGGCAACTACGTTCTGGCTATTTACGCGAAAACCCGAAAGTTGGGCGATGCCCGGAAGCTGTTCGATGTGTTGCCCGAACGAGACGTCCGGGCTTGGACGATTCTTCTGTCCGGTTTTGCACGCGATGGGTCTTGTGGAATGGTTTTGGATCTTTTCGGGGCTATGGTGATTGAGGGTGTTTGTCCGAATCGCTTTACTTTGTCAAGTGTCTTGAAGTGTTGTTCCAGCTTGAATGAGCTGAAACTGGGCAAAGTTGTTCATGGGTGGATCGTCAGAAACCAAATTCATGTTGATGCCGTGTTGGAAAACTCTGTTCTTGATGTTTACGCGAAATGCGGGGATGTTGTTGTTGCGGAGAGGTTGTTTGATTTGATGAGAGAGAAGAATACCATTTCTTGGAATGTAATGATTGGTGCATACCTACGTGGTGGAGATACACAGAAATCGTTTGATCTGTTTCAAAGGATGCCATACAAAGATGTTGCTAGTTGGAATACGATTATAGATGGGCTTATGCAAAATGGATTGGAAAGAAGGGCACTGGAGCTGCTTTATGAGATGAACGGAAAAGGACCAGTGTTTAACGAGGTGACCTTTTCCATAGCTCTGGGTTTGGCCTCTTTTTTGTCTCTTTTGGATGTTGGAAGGCAAGTTCATGGGATAGTTATTAGATTGGGAATCAACAGCAATGAATTTATCAGGACTTCTCTCATAGATATGTATTGCAAATGTGGAGAAACTGAAAAGGCTTCAATAGTATTTCATTGTTGGCCTTTAATGTTTATGAGCACAAAGAACTGCGAGATAGCTTACAAGGATGCATATGCATGCAGTTCATTGGTTTCTGGGTATGTGAAGAATGGTAACTATGAAAACACCTTTGAAGTATTTAGCACGATGGTCCGAAAATGTATGAAGGTGGACAAATATACCATTACAAGCATTATTTCAGCATGTGCAAATGTTGGTATATTAGAACTTGGTCAAAAGATCCATGCCTACGTCCTGAAAGTTGGGTATTACGTGGATGTTCACCTTTCGTCCTCATTGATTGATATGTATTCCAAATGTGGGAGCCTCAATGATGCCCTGTCAGTATTCGAGCAGAGTCAAGACTCGAATGTTGTGTTATGGACTACAATGATATTCAGCTTTGCTTTGCATGGGAGAGGTAAGGAGGCTGTTCGGCTTGTTGAGTGTATGATAAATGAGGGAACTATACCAAATGAGATCACTTTTGTTGGTATATTAACTGCTTGCAGCCATGCAGGACTGCTTGAAGAGGGTCGTGAACATTTCAGGCTCATGAAAGATGTATATGGAATCAAACCTGGAATAGAACACTATGCTTGCATGGTGGATCTTTATGGGCGAAGCGGTTTGTTGAATGAGGCTAAGGATTTCATTTATAGCAATGGCATATCTGACCAAATTGCAATTTGGAAGTCAGTTCTATCTTCCTGTCAACTCTACAAAAGAGTTGATATGGGGAAGTGGGTTTCTGAAAAACTAATCCAACTCAATTCATGTGATCAGGAACCTTATGTTTTGTTGTCAAACATGTACGCCACTGATCAAAAATGGGAGCAGGCTGCTCTAGTTAGAAATCAAATGGAAAAGGGAGGGCTTAAAAAGCACCCTGGACAATCATGGATCCAAGTGAATGGTCAGGTGCATGCATTTATAATGGGAGACCATTTGCACCCACAAGCTGCTGAAGTACATTCGTACTTGGGAAAACTAATTGGATAACTAAAGGAAATTGGAGATTCTCTGAATGTGAAGTCGGCAATCTAGGATGTAGAAGAAGAGAGAGAATAATCTTGTTTCACAGTGAGGAGAAAAGAACCTTCCTTTCATGTTTGGAATTTGTGTTGACTGTCAAAACTTCGCCAAGTTTGCTTCCCAACTCTTAGATAGGGAAACAGTCATTGGAATACATCAATTCCATTATTTTAAGAGTGGCAAATGGTCCTGTGGTGAATTTTGGTGAAAGCAACTTCAGAAAAAACATGTCATGTAGTTTGTTTCAGTGGGGTTTGGAACTTTCAGTAAGTGGGAGACAAGCAATCTATGCATACCCATGAAAAGCAGCTCCGCAAATAAAGCGTGTGGTTAATCTTGGACTTGTTAAGGCTGAAAAAAGACTAGTTCCTCAAGCTTCAGCATCCAGCTATCATCGGTATCCAAATTGTATAATCCAGACAAGAGTGCAGGTACACTTCTTTGTTTCACATTTTTTAACCACATCTATGATGCTTCTTCAGTTAGTATATTAACATGACGAGTTCACAAAAGGATAAGCCAGAGCAATTCCAAGTTTTTCCTTCCTCGTTATACCCTGTATTTACCAATCAAATGAAGAAAGTTCACCCTATGCTTGGGCTGTTTACTTTTTTATAAGCAAGAAGAGAAAATCAACGATAACTGTGGCCAAGTCTTGCAATCAATCAACAATAAACTCTTAGAGGATGTTGAAGCATGTAGAGGAGTTGTCGTAGCATAAGCTTTGAGTATGTCATCTATTTCCTTCTAATGAAGCAGAATACACAGTTATTTGAACCTTTTTCGTTTGCTAGTTCTTCAATGTTCTAGATCTTGGATGTGTTTTTTCTTCCTGAAAGAGCTACATAGATTGTGTTCATGAGAAACTATAGATGTCACAGTTAAATTGATGCTTGCAACACCAGTCATTTATTTAAATGTGCTTATATAACAAGAAGATTGATTCAACGGGTAACCCTTGCTTCCTGGGGTAAAAAAGAAGAAAAAACAGATAGAGAAGATCTGTTCATGGATGTATCGTTAGGCCTGTGCTTTCTGCTACGGTTGTGGTGGTGGCGGGAGCATGAGGAGAATCGCCAAATACTGAGAATCAAAGAATGAGAGGCACAATTAGGCCAGTAAAATTCCAGAAGCAATATAACCTCTTGAAGTAAGATGAAGCACTGAAGTCCTAGTGTCATGGAGACACTACATCTGAATCTAGGGCCAGTCTTGCCCGGACTCAGGTCCAGGATCTCCACCAGTGATCACTCGGGTCTCACATGTGGGGCTTACATGATCAATGGTAGACATGGACCTAGTCTAGTAGACCCGGGTCCATATAAGAAACTTCCCCAAATCTGGCGAGGCTTCCAGGGGTTTTTTTAGCGGTCGAAGAGGAAAAAGGACAACTGAGCCACTGACTTTATTTTACATATGTTTGTAACCTCTTGTTCTTCAACATTATATTATGAGTCTATGACATGAATTGTCAAAGCGACAGACTACAAGAATGCATTTCAGCTGCTTCTTACTGGCTCGTTTATATTATATGGTAATCAGCTTTGCCGTGCGCCAAAGTTACTCATATATGCCCTATCATTTCCTTCAAATCCATAAACTCGACTTTCTTGTGTGAATCTGGCAATTAGTAGCGTTACATTGGCTGGACGAAAAGGAAAAAGTACTCTGGTGGATTGTTAATCGAGATCCCACCCAAAGACAATAGATTTCCCTCTATTAGGGATCAGCTAGTCCTAGAACAACCAGAAAGCTCACACTCCTAGTATAAGGGGCAGACTCTCCCCATCATTCAACAAACTGATATTTCACCTAGTTTTCACTGTGCCTGCATATATCAAATGAACCAAAGCAGCCTCGAGATCCATCTCACATGCATCCAAACTGTGAACTCAACTCAAGCAACGATTCGACCAAAAAAAAACTCAAGCAACGATCCAGTTCCCATGTGAATTGGGATAACCGGGAATACTGCTGCATTTCAATTAACCGCGAGGGTTTTAATTTCTCGGGTGGACTGAGAAGGAGATGATTGTTGCAAAACAGATCCTTCAAGGACTTCAATGCAATAATCCGGTTGTCTTACAGCAAGTTCTCCATCATAAACCAAAAGAGAGGACAAATAGAAAATGGAGAAAAATTAAGTAGCACTGGATCACGTGCTTTACTGCGCATGCTCGATTGAAGTGCTTCCAGGCACCCTATCACTGCTATTAGGTGTGTGTGCACACACCAATTCAGAGAGATTTCAGTAACCGTTGATCTGTGGGCGAGGAGTGGGACCCGTAAGCCGTGAGAAGGGCATCTGTGGCTGTGCGGGAATGCCCTTTTGACCAGGAAACTTTGGAGTTGACGGCTGAGCTGAGAATGAACCGGAAAATGCTTGCGCAAGCTCAACAGCTGAAGCTGCTTTGCCAAATCGCCCACCTGCTTCCGGAGAAGCTGGTTTTGGTGGTGGCTCCTCCACTGGCTTGCGCCATGTTTCGGGAGAAGGCCGCCTCTCTGGCTGCTGTTGTTGATGGTGAGGTTGCTGCTGCTTCTCTGCTTCTCTACCGTTCCGATGATTCTCGTTGCGCCAGTTCTTCCTTTGTACATCATCTTTTTCAACAATCCTTTGATCTTTCCTCTCAAATTTCTTCCCATTTCTCTGATCAATAACAAGGTTTTCAGATTGTTCGCTGTAATGGGTGGGTATAACATTCCCAGAAGCTCTCTCCGTCTTTGGAACGTCATTTTTTAACCTCCATAGAAAAGTTCACCAATTATAATCAACATCCAGATATGTGCACAAAAGGCACAAAATAGTTAAGGTGCATACCTGTCAGAACTTGGTCCCAAATCGCGATTGTTGACAGGTACATCATCAATCCCTCTCTCTCTTAGAACCTGAAAAAACAAAAATAAAATGCAATAGAGTTGGGACATAAACCGGGACAATAAGCTTCTAGCATTACCATCCCCAAAGAAAAACAATACAACTGAGGGAAAGCACCTCCCTTCCCCTCTTGTTCCATCAATAAGAACACAGAGAAACTCTTCCTGGTCAAAAAAGGAAGACCAGTGAAAAGAGTGAAAAGGACATCAAGAAGGGTACACTGCAAATTTGGCCATTAAAGTTGCACTTCTTTTTGGATTCATCAATTATTCTGATCTCATCACCCAGCTAACAGTACACTTAATGTAGCATCCTCCCAGTCTCCATTAGTTTTCTAACGGCTACTGACAGGAAAGTGAATGAAACGTCCAACATACAGTTTATGAACCATGGCAGTAATTTGGTGATTGACATTGCATCAATCTGAACTACAAATTTGTGATGGGGGCCTGCACTATTCAATGGGAACAACTACACCTCAATAAATTGGTAAGTTAGAAGCAGATATCAAAACTTGACCTTGCGCCATGTGGGTAACTAAGTTATAATCTATCCAGAGGAAGAAAATTGCTAGCAATCATTAGGACGATAAACCTATTTTATATCCCTGACAGAAACAAATACAAGCACTCACCAATTCTCGTGGACGAGCACCACCAAACACTGTACTCCTGCATCAATCATATCAGATAGCATGTAAGAATTTCTTAGAGAAACTGTTTCAATGCAAAGATCCAGTAAAAAAATTGATGAGATCCACCCTTTTTTAGGTACCAATATATACAGAAGTTGAGAGAGAGAGAGAGAGTGAGCCATCTGGATAACAGCATAATTACCCATGACTTGTGTATCAATGAGTCGACTCTACAAATCCTGTACCAACTGTATTGAAAAGATCTTATTTGCTAAAACACAATGGGAAATCTTTCAAGACAAATGCCCAATCTTATCTTCGTGCATGACTACTACAATCTAATTATTAAAGCTGTTGGCATATTCAGCCACCCCCATGCCAAAGCAAAAATCACCATCGCAGCAACACATTAAGCCTTGTAGGTGTATGACAGAATATACACTGAGGGTCGTAGACGGGCAAGACTATACACTACAAGAGAAAATTCAACAGTCCCGATTCAATAGAATAAAGTGAATCTTTGACATTGCCATGAAGTCGATAAGCCCAACAGTATATCAACACATAACAGGACAGCTCACATCTTCAAGTATTTGATGTCCAAGAGTATGTCAAACAAATCATGTCTCTCTAGCCTCGAATTGAAACAAGTTCGAGTCTGGTAGAAGATTTTCAACCAACTTAAAACATCGCAAGCACCAGCCGCATGCAACTACTGGTTAGACAAACAACATCAATACAACATGCAAAGCTGACATTAACAGCAGCAACGCTGACATCAGAAAAACAAAAGCAATGACTTCTACATTTTCTTTTTAAAAAAAGGAAAGAAAAGAACCTCGTGAGACTGTGTCCCATCGGCTCGTCTTAGACGATTTTCATGGGGACTCTTGTTGAATGCAGATAACCTATGTGTGAAGATTTTACTTTCAACCGAAAACTCTGTCACTACAAGTCTCTCTGGAAGAATCCTCCGTTTTTTAGAAACAAAAGCAGCACAAGATTGTGTGGCAATGACTGTTCTGAAGGCACTGTTTTAAAAGTGTTTTCAGAAATTGGACTGCATTCTGAATGTACTAAAGCGATACATTAATTTACCCAGATGTTATCAGTTCTTTATTAGGGGATAAAAAAGATTAAATTTCATGTCAATCATCCTCAAAAGGACTACATTCTTCACTCACCTATCACGTTCTTTGTTTCCTTCCAATTGCTCAGTGGGCTGTGATCTCGGTTTCAAGTTCAATTTTGGTCGCTCTACTGCCTGATTCCCACTTTCCGTTCCATGTAAAGCATGCTTCACAGGATTCACTATGCCCTGCAATTCATCAGTTGTTCCTGAGTGCGCCGAATCAATTGGTCTCTGATGCACCTATATCAATGAAAGAAGCAACAGGAACAAAATTAAAGCTTAGACAACCACAATGATAATTGTAGGAGTGCTTAGAATGCATACCAGTTTAGGTTCACCAGAAGGTGGTTCAGAACTGTCCAATGGCTTTGTCCTTGGAAATAACTTCAACTTAGGCCTCTCTGATGCTTCTGAAGGCACGGGTTGCTGCACTCTAGATTGACCAAGTTTACCCTCTGTATGCATCAGTTTAACAGACTCAGAATAAATGGGTGGGTTCTTTTCTTTTCCATCTGAAGACACTAGATCCTCAACCATCATATGATCTGGCAATCCTTTCCTACCACCGTGAACCCCTTCAGCGATATTCAAATTCCTCTCCACTTGCCTTGCCAGTGCTGCATCATGATGTTCCCTCACAGCCACCACATTGCTCCTTCTATACTTCCCATCATCAACCCCCCTGGTGATCAACTCACTTTCTTCCTCCACAAACTTACTGACTTCCGCATCGACCTGATACGGAACCGTTGGTTTCGACTGCCACCTACCAGATGACACCTTATCAAGAGCACTGGCGTGAACCAGTTTGGAAGCAGCATTCGAAGCAGACCAGGCAGACTGCAATGAATCCCCGACACTTGCAGCCTCCTTCCTCGCAGCCCAGACATTCACCGAAGACCCAGGAGCTCCAGGCCTGTGACTTCCGCCTGCACTCGGCGAACTCATACCCAACTGCGTACCCTCTGCAGCTACTCCAAAGTACGGACTCTGAGGATGGCTCGGCAACTGCAAAACCTGAGATTGGCCCTGCTGACTCGGAACCCTGCCCACCGCGACAGACTGCGGCTTCAGCTCCAAACGGGAAGAAACCCTAATGCTATCGTCGCTAATCGTTCGGCGCGGGGCCGATATCCCGTCGAGGGGCTTGCGCTCGTCCTCATCGAAATTACGGCCGATAGGCACGGTTTGGCTGAGGAACGGCGACTTGTCGTCGAAATGCCTGGTCGCCGGGGACGAGCTGGGCCGAGAGCGGTGCTCGGGACGGCCGACGGGGTTCCCCCACGGCGCCTGCCTCTCGAATCCCGCCGACGGCCTCACAGCACTGCAAGGGCAGTCACACAAAGAGAAAGGAAAAAACAAGGCATCAAATCACGAACCCAATCTAGCCCGCAGATCCAGCCTTACCCATCAACGAAAAACGCCATATTTCGACCCGACCCAGATCGAATCTCGCGCAAACAAAGAGGAGGATCAAACCCCAGATCCAATATCAGCGCAAATACGCAAGAGGGTTACGCAAGAGGGTTAAAACACTCATGAAAGAACCACAAGAAAACATGGAAAAGCTCGAGACTTTGTGGGAGCTTACACGCCGGGAGCGGACGGGAGAGGGAGATCGGAAGGGATGGAGCCGCCGTGGAAGTCCTTGAGCGTCATGGTGCTCCCGCTGAACGCCTTCTTCTTCGACATCGCGCCTCTCCCTCCCTCGCCCTAGCTCTCGCTCTCCCTCTCCCCCGCCGCACCAAGATCGACGCCCCTGCCTTTGCTCCCCGCACCGGAATTTCCTCCGGGAAGGAGGAGGAGATCGCCCTCGCTCGGCCAACCGCTCCGCCGGACCGGCCCGAATCTTCGCCGCTGCGAATCGCCGGCGACCTCCGACCGCCGCCGCCACCACCAGAAGATATCCGGAGAAGAAAGGGAGAGAATCCGCTGCGAGAGGAGGAGGAAGAGGCTGCTGCTGCTGCTTCTTCCTCCTCCTCCATTTTTCTCTCGCGTTCGGCGAAGGTGATACTGATGGGCCGAGGCCCAATTGAATGGGCCTTTTTGGGCTGGGCTTAGGCCCAATAAGGCCCACAAACAATGGTTAGCCATGAGTGAAGATTAATCGTAAGTCTAGTCAAATTTTACAACACAACTCAAATCTAGATGCGTTAGACTATGGTTAGCCATGAGCGAATTATCGCGGATCTAGTTTTTTTTTTTTTTTCCAAATACGTCAAGCCTTTCCATTGGCTCCGTTAGATTTTGGTGCGCGGAAATTTCATGTGGCAATATAGGGTTGGAAAAATAACGATGAAAAGACCACGTGACATTTTTTTTTTATACCGGTTGACGTGACGTCGGGCCTAGACAAATGTCTTGTCCAAGCCCGCCTAAATGGGTAAAGAATATTTCAAAGCTCGGTAAAAAAGATGATTATGTAAGGAAAAAAAAAATAGGTCCGTATACCAACTCGTCGAATCCAAGCCCATCAAGGCACAACGCAGCTAATATTGGAATTGGCTAATTCCAGAGATCAATTGTTTTATCGGGCTAATTTCCTAAAATACCTCAACTTTAAATCTAATCCTAATTTTGTCCCAAACTTTTTCTTTTTTGTCTAAAAAAAATCATCAACTTTCACTCTAATCTCAAATCTGCTCACACGTCCAAAAATTGCCACCGGTTTTCCCAAGATTATCGACATTAGGAGGTTGATGTTGTTCCGTACGAATGTGAGAGTGTTGATGAAGACACCGGTTTTGATAACGAACCTCTAACTTGACTAGAGTGACAGTTCGGAATATTTTTTTTAAATAAAAAAAAATAAGTTCGGGGCAGAATTAAGATTGGACATGACTCCAGACCTTTCCATAATTTTTCTTCTCTTTCGTTTGATCTGTAAGTAAGTTTCATCCTCAACTGCACTGAAGTATCGAACCCTAAGTCATCCTCAGGCCGATCAAAGTCAAGGGGGTTCCCGTTAAAGCAAGGGGATTCTCGAGAAATTACTTGATTATCGATCGACCAAAACAATTTGCCTTGAAAATGTCGTGATCACCCTCAATCTAATTTCACTAGTACTCTTAGGAGAGACACGGATACTTTCTTTCTCAACTTTTTCTTATTATTATCACGAATCTACTCTCGTCGGAATAGAGTTATCGACGTAATCTCAGCTCATCGGTAACGCGACGGAAGAGATCCGACATGCCAGAAAAATCCCGTGCGAATCACGTATTATACGAACGTTTTGCGTATTTCGTCGAAATGGAGTTGTGCTTGCTTTTCTTCTCCTCCATGCAAGGAATCCGAATTTCATTTTTGCACCAAAAGGTGGTGGAGCAAGGCAAGAATAAAGGAAGAAACGAAAGGCAAAACTTTTTCTGCATATCAGAGAGTGACCACAGCTAATCTCTTCCCCCCCCTCAGGTGGTGTCAACCCTCCATGCCCCATGACCTGTCCCTACTTTATTCTGATTCTATAGCTCGTGCGTTCCGTGTATAAGACTCGGGTGCCGTCGCTCTCACGTCGACCCGCAATCCGTCCCGCCGACCGAGATGGCGAAGAACGCGGGGTTCTTGATCTGTCTGCTGATCATGGCCATGGACGTGGTCGCGGGGATCCTCGGCATCGAGGCCGAGATAGCTCAGAACAAGGTAAGAGGCATCAGATAGATGGTCTGTTTCTTGGAGAAGATGGGGGCAAAAGACAAACACATGCGTGAAATCTGTGTGTTTGGACAGGTGAAGCATCTGAAGGTGTGGGTGTTCGAGTGCAGAGACCCGAGCTACCAAGCGTTCAAGCTGGGAGTGGCTGCGTGCGTGCTGTTGGCGCTGGCTCACGCGATAGGCAACTGGATGGGGGGATGCGTTTGCATTTGGTCCAAGGAGGATTTGAATAGAGTCACTGCTAACAAGCAATTGGCCGTGGCCTCTCTCATTTTCTCTTGGTACTTTCTTCTCCTCCTTTTTATTCGAAAAATTATCGTCGTAGATATTCGAAATCCTCGCTCGGGCAAGATTTTTCTTCGCGGGTTTTAGGGACGCTCTGGCCCGAGTAGCTCGAGGGCACGTGGAATCCCGTGTCGTGTTTACTATACTAATCTCTTTTCATCTTTTTGCACATAACTTTGTTGCATAGATGTACATAATCTAATTGGTGTAACATGTTGAGAGTGTACAAAGATAAGTGCTCGTCGAATTTCAAGAGTTCCACTATATGGTCTTAGTGAATTTTCAATTCTTGATATCAATTAAGCAGAGAATTGCCACGTCATAGATTCGCGTATAATATGTTCTCATGTTACGCTACATCAACTATTCATAGGTACCGACTTAGTGGATCTTGAGTGCTCTCAATGATCTTCGCATTTGGGGAATGAGTAGATTAGTGTTATTGAGCATGACAAAATTTGGTGTTCCGAGCCTGCTGGACTTTGTCTCAAACTTGCCACAATTTGAAAAAATATTGTTCTTGATAAAAAGGATAGAGACTTAGGTGAGCCTAGCTAGGCCGATCTAGTCCCGGAAACCGTATCGTCCGAGAATTATGTGGCGAAATCGAGTTAAAACGGACTAATCGATAAACTACACCGTGCTGCGATTTCAGGATCATCTTGGCAGTCGCGTTCTCGATGCTGATATTGGGGGCGCTGTCCAATTCGAAGTCACGGAGGACCTGCGGGCTCGCCCACCACCGGCTCCTCTCGATCGGGGGCGTGCTGTGCTTCATCCACGGGCTCTTCACCGTCGCGTACTTCGTGTCGGCTAAGGCAGCAAGGAAAGAAGACCGGCAGAGACAGGGACATGCCTAGAGTTAACAACATCGGATTCCCCACAACTCCATTCGATTCTTTCATGTGTTCTAAAGTTTGCTCCTTTTTCTTTTGGGTTCCTTTTGTCCTTGCCGAATGTTTTGGATTCAGATCGAAGAACGTTTGATTCTTGAATTGATTCTTGGAATTTGCTCGAATGAGAAGCACCTGCTGTTACTTGATTTTCCGCTTCTCATCAAGAACAAGAACTGACCGACAAAAAGTTCGATTCAATCGCGCTCCATTTCGCGTTCGATTTTCAAATTTACATGTCGAATCGTTCGAAACCTCAAAACCCACCTTCCCATTTCTACCGTTACGTTTGATTCTTGAATTGATTCTTGGAATTGCTCCAAGAAGAAGCACCTGCTGTTTCTTGATTTCCGATTCTCATCAAGAACAAGAACTGACCGACAAAAAGTTCGATTCAATCGCGCTCCATTTCGCATTCGATTTTCAAATTTACATGTCGGATCGTTCGAAACCTCAAAAACAAACATTCCCATTTCCACCGTTCCTACCAACAATCCCTAAAAGATTCGAACTTCGCTCAGGCGTCGACGGCGGCGGCGGCGGCGGCGGAGCTCCGGGAACCGGCTCCGGCGGCGGCCTTCTTCGGCAGCAGGGTGCTGTGGATGTTGGGCAGGACGCCGCCGTTGGCGATGGTGACGGCGCCGAGCAGACGTCCGAGCTCCTCGTCGTTCCGCACCGCCAGCTGGATGTGCCTCGGCACGACCCGGGTCTTCTTGTTGTCCCTCGCGGCGTTCCCGGCCAGCTCCAGAACCTGAAACCCAGAACATCGGAAAACCAAGCCAAAAGATCAGAATCCGAAACCAGCCTTGGCTTCCGCCACCGAACCATCAAACGGGAAAAGCCGACCGGGATGCCGGGCGGGGCTCACCTCGGCGGCGAGGTACTCGAGCACGGCGGCGAGGTAGACGGGCGCGCCGGCGCCGAGGCGGTCGGCGTACTTGCCGGTCCTGAGGAAGCGGGCGACGCGGCCGACGGGGAACTGGAGGCCGGCCTTGGAGCTGCGGGAGGAGCTCAGCTTCTTCGCCGATGCGGCGGCGGCGGCGCCGCCCAGTGCCTTTCCTCTTCCGGCCATCGTCGATCGGGAGATCTTCTCTGTTTCGCAGGTTTTGGTCTTGAGTTTGAGCGGGAGGGTGAGCGATGAGGAGTTCGGCGAAGGAGTTGCAGAGTTTATGTAGGTTTTTGCAGGAGGGGGTTGGGCCAATCAGGAGCGAGGACGCGGATCGACATCTGCGGCCGTCGGTTCCCCGGATGAGCAATGGACGGTTGAGATGCGGTGCTGGCGTCGGATCGCCAAATTGAGGGGGAGGGAATTGGCGCGAAATCCAAATGCAAATCCAAAAGGAGCCTTCTTTTCAAAGTGTCCCAAAAAAAAAAGGAAGTATATTGTTTATGAGCAATTATTTATATATATCATTAATGCGAAAATAATTTTACGAAAATGGCCCCATACATTCTGAGTAATTATAAGTTTTTTTTTAAATTTTTAGTTTTTATTCCTTTTTATTAATTGATTCACAACAATGGCCAAAATGATCGTATTTCAATGTAGTAATCATAATTATAATAGTTAACGAGAGTATCAAGCATCGTATTTAATTTATCAAATTATCATCTCACTCACTCGACGTTTTTTTCACAAACAAAGGGTTATATATTCCATTTCTTCGTTCTTTCTCAATTCATTTTTTTCATTCTATTCAATTTTATCGCATCATAACGTCATAATTCTCCGGACGAAAAGAAGAAAAACACACACTCATCATGAGTGTCCACTATGGATAAGGGTTTCCACAATTCCTCAAGAAAACATTTCCCATGGAATTTGTGATTGTTGGCTTTCACATATTAAATGTTAGCCATTCATTGGAAACGTATTTCAGTGCTTACGTGTTATAACACTTTAATAAAATTACGATAAATAATACTAGTGCATGATGAGTTGTGATGGTAGAATGGTTAGGGTGAGCATTGATCCTGATCTAACTTGGGAACCGGACTGGATCAACCAATTTTGTGTAGTTTTCATGGGAATGGACAATAACCAGTTCGATTCTGACTCCTTGTGCAAAATTGGACCCGATCGGTATGCCTTGCTTTTATTTTATTTTTCTCTTCTCATACTAAAGTTGCACCGAGGGCAAAGGCAAAGCCCTAATAGCCTCTTAGCTCTCGTACTCTCTCACTCTCGCCTCTCACCACTCACCCTCCATCGCTCCCCTCGCGCTAAGAACGTGAGACGACAAGTCCAGGGAGAGTTGGATCAAGTGGGAGCACAAGAAATTTCTCAAAGCGCTTCACCCGTAGTAACTTTCTTCGTCGTAATTTTCCGTCCGCAACTATGGAAGAACTTGTCTTGTTAAGTATCAAGTAGTCTGTGTGGATTGTGTGCTTGAGGAGATGGGATGCAATTATAATGGCAATGTTCAAATTTTTATCATAAGATCCTCTAGCGTACTTAAGCAATTCCACATCTTATGTACACCATCGTAAGTGCACTATGCATGTACTATATTATGGAAGAATCCAAAACAAAAGGACACCACCGCTTCCTGGGTGGACTGGGAGCCGACCTGATATAATTTCGAGGTGGGAACCGACCCATCTTGAAAATGATCACTCATAAGAATGGTAGTGGGCCATGTTAAGCAACTGCTAACCTTTACAAGTTTGTAAGCAACTTGTATTTGAATTTACTCCTACCAACTTATTTTTTAGACAATTACTCCAATATCCATTTGATTGATAAATTACCAACTTTCATTTCAATTTTATATGTAGTTACTCAAATTTACAACTATCTAAAGATACCATGATTATAAAATTTGAGATTGTTACTACCTGATTGGATATTAACAAGGTCTACTTTCATATTTTCAATACCTCATTGGATATTAAAAAGGTTTGTAAGAGTTTGAGTAAGTTTGCTTGGGGGTTTACTTCTATCTCCATGTCTACTCTCTGAATTCTTCAAGTTCACACCTCTGTTCTCCATCTCGACTACTTTAGTCTCTCGTCTCCGCACTCTCCAACCTCCACCACGACGACCACCACTCTGATTGTCACGAGCGACGCTCCAACCTCCATGGACCGGAGAATGTTATTCGGGTTTCGATATTACTCTGATTGAGAATAATTTATCAGAATTGTTTGTAATTTGTCCCAAGGAACTACTGTTGGTGGTGTTGTCATGCCCCGTACCCCACGAAGCATGAGCATCCCGGTTATAGGTCGAAATAGTAGTGCGACGCTCCCAGGTTACGTCACCGACCCGAAACCCAACACAGAGATCACGTCACATGCGGAAGCACGATATATAAGTAAATATATATCACCCATACAGAATTTACAGGGACCAGGGATAGCCGCACCTAAACGATCACCAAATAAAAACAACTTCACTCTTTTATAAACATTTAGAAGCTTATACAATATCCATTTACAAAGAGCCACAACAAAAACGAGTCACGGCCACGGGCAACAAAAAGGATCAGTGGCCAGGGTACTAAGCTGAACTAAGCTGGGCTTCAATCAAAAAGATATAGCCCATACTAAAGTATAATACCTAATGTACATATTCCCCTCTCCTACTGAATGAACCGACATGGTCTTCTCGATGAAGTGGGGAATCCCAAAACGCACGAGCGGCTCCGCCATCTTTACTGCCGGGGGTCTGAAATATCGGTTTTACCACAACCGTGAGAAAAACTCAGCAAGTAACAACCCCTAATCCTAAACTAGGCTAATGTGCACCTCCAGAGGGTAAATAAAACACATAAATAAATGAACCAGCACATCAACATAATTTCACCCGGGCTCACAGCCCAATACATTGTCTCATAGCCCTGCAGGTTAGGCATTTGACATTAACGCAAATCACGTGCAGTTATACCGACCCGAAGGCCACAGTTTCTCCCGACCCGAAGGCCCGACCCGAAGGCCACAGTTTATCCCGGCCCGAAGGCCCGACCCGAAGGCCACAGTTTATCCCGACCCGAAGGCCCGACCCGAAGGCCACAGTTTCTCCCGACCCGAAGGCCCGACCCGAAGGCCACAGTTTATCCCGACCCGAAGGCCCGACCCGAAGGCCACAATTGAGTAAATCTCAGGTATGCACATTGTTACACTCAATTCCAATCAATCACAACATGACATACAAATCGTATACTCGGAAATTCATGAAAATTTCCTAGCCAACATGCCGAACACACTTATTTACCAAGCCAATGAATTTAACACACCCTCAGCACCATCAATTTATCACTCCTCTAGTTCAATAAGTTCAACACTCATTTCCGCGCATTCTTTCCAAAGTAACTCAATGCGCTAAAGGCCCGCCTTGGGCAAATCAATCTCGATAGTCGTTCTCACCATTTCGGGGTCATTCAATAGAATTTATTCAAGTCCCCATCGACCCCTTCAAGTGCCTAAATTCTTGCCATTAATCAATGAATCAACTAAATACTCAACTTGTACAATTTTGGACAAATTCGGTACTGAATGAACAGTACCAGAGGAGGACACATTTTGTCCACTAAATCACAATTAAACACCCTCATTAGGCTCTAATCTCAAACCTCAATCACCCAACAACCAAATACACTTAATTAAGTTCAAATAAGCCTAATTAGTCCCCAAAATGTCCAAATCCAAGTCATTGGCACTTGAACTCAATTAGTGAAACACTTAGGCAAATTACACAAATTCGGTGCCCCTTGAACAAGCATGCAACGTAGGGCGTTTGGGCCTTAATCCACCATTAAACTATCTCATTAGGTCCTAATAACCTATACAAATCACCCCACACACAATTAAGCCTAATTAAACCCCAATTCGGCCTAATTAACCCCTAAAAATGCACAATTAGACTAATTAAGGGTTTAGGGGTTTATACTCGCCTAAAATCGACTCGAGGCGACGGGAGCGGGCGGTCGATTACCGACACGCGGTGAGAATCGACGGCGGCACTCCGGGGGCAAGCCGGCGGTCACGGCGGCGCCGGTGTGGCTCACGGTCACCTCGGCCAAAACAGGGGAGGCTGCTAGGCTTGAGGGCTGAGGACAGTGGAGAGAGAGAGACGGTGAGGGCAAGTGGTCGACGAGGGCGACGTACGGGCGAAGGACGGCGGTGCGGCGCCGACGGGATGAAGACCGGCGGTGCTTCTCTCTCTCCCGCCTGGAACAACTACTGTGGGGCGGACGATTCAGAGGGTGGGGCTGGTCGACGGAGGCTGGGGCGGTGCCAGGGGGTGGTGTGCGGCGGCCTGAGGTCAGCAGCTCCGGCGGCGCGGCTGTTCCGGCGTGAACAGTGGCCGTCGGAGCAGAATGGCAGAGGAACGGCGTGAAGAGGACGATCGTGAGGGCTGCTCGGGGAGAGAGAACGTGAGCTGAGAGAGACTGAGGAGAGAGAAGAAGCAGGTCAAATGTGGTCAAACTTGGGTGAGTGGAGTCCATGTGTCAAAAATCCAAGGGTTTGGATAATTTGCCCCTTTAATCCAATGGCCTAGGCTCATTCTCCTCCAATAATGCAAGGGTGAGATGGTCAAATGCCCCTAACCAAGGCTGACCAGGTCTGGTTTGGTCTACTTAACCTTAGTTAGTCCCCAAAATTTATCCAAAATTCGGAATAAATTAAAATGGCCTAGGGGCATTTTCGTAATTTTCCGATCCCGGACCGAAATTTCAAATTTTGTCCATACCGGTCCTATAAGTTCATGGGAGACATAATACGGTGTCGGATTCGCGAAATTCACTTTCTAAGCCTTCGAAAATCGCCTGCGAAGTCCCGGGAATAAAATAATATTATTTTTCCAATTTTTGCCGAAATTCCCGTTTTTGTCCAAAACCACTCTAAATGTACGTGGTCACTCCAAAATGACCTTGGCCGTGAAAAATAACCTCAAACGGCCTCCGAATCCAGCCCCGGTGCCCACGGGGGCAAAACCGTAATTTTCCCCAATTTTTGTCGAAATTCCTATTTTCAGCCGTTCTTGTCCCAAACTTAATTGGCCACTATAAAATGACGTCCGTCCTACAAAATAGTCGTAATTAACCTTGAAATTTTGATATCGAAGTTTGGCTCAATATCGCGATCAAAATAGCTCGTTTTGAAATCTTAGGATCTCTCATTAACGGGTGGCTGTTTAGGTGTTACGCGTATCGACCTAAGACTGTCCGAGTCTCGATAGTCTCAAATCTCGAGAGAAGGTAAGAGATTATCACTAGTACCGGGGGTCGCGATCGTTCGGATAAAATTTGGGATTTGTTTGTCAGGCGTACTTTCGGTCGTGCGGAATCACCCGCGATCCAATCGTACGTTACTAACTATATCAAATCCGTTATCTTCCTAAGATCGGCCCATATTGGCTCAAGATATTCCCTCGACGTTTCTCGAAATCAGTGTCCAATCACGATCGGTTTCTCGGTCCACGTACCTGTTCCTATTTAGCCTTTCCCATTTGGTTAGTATCCCGTGATTGATCAAGTCCGGGCGAGACTCACTAAAATCACACGAGAATTAATATACGCTTTATTGGTTCCGATAACGGGTCAAAATTCAGGATGTTACAGGTGTAGCTGGTGTTACTGTCTTGTTATGTCAAGTTGCCCAAGTTCCAGTTTCCTCCTCCTTCTGTCTTCTTGTTTTTGTCCAGTAAACATCTTGCCCAAGATTAGATAAGGAAAAAGGCGATGTCATGAGAAATTACTAACGGTATAAAGCACCCAATTTGCTGAGCCAAGAAGCTTTTGTCAAGCACCTCCCTAGAATGAACTTGAAACAAAATGAACATTTGTACCAGGGAACTGAACTCCTAGACAGAATTTCAATCCTGTAAGCACAAACTGTCGACACAGCACAGCTCTCTATCCAGGCAATTGAACGTGATTTTCCCGTATTGAAAAGATTCCGAAGCATTAGCCTCTTGAAGGCCTAAATTAACCGGCTAGGAGTTTTGAGTAAGGTCGTCCTGACAGCACTAGGAATGGCTCACTGAATCCCAGAAGAAAATCTCATAACAACAGCTTCTTCAAAAACAAATTGGAGTGGGGACGAGTCAACTAAAGGAAAGAGATGCATAATGGAGCAGCAGAATATAATGGTCCAAGGCACAAACTCAGTACATAGGACAGCTTGGTAAGAAAATGGGACACCAATGATAAGCTTCTACTTTGGCATCTGCTAAGCTTCAACTTTCGTGAAGAGTTTCATGAAGAACCTCGACTGAGTTTAGCAACCTCACTGCCTTAGTTTTGTCACATAGGACGTGGAGCAGCTATTTGTATAACTGTATGTCTCAACCTATACGTAGGACTAGCCTTCCCAAGTATAAGCCGTGAGCCAAAACATCGATTCCCTAGTCTCTTTCTAAAGGGCACTAAATCACCACGCAAAGTTGAAGAAATTTTTCCTCTAATGGCTATAAAACAGATCAAGGCAAAGTTTCCATCTCTACTCATTGTCCTCCTACGCTTGAGTCGCAATACAGTTGACACTGTACATCTGATTTTCCATCACATTTCTTGCCCTACGGCGTTGCTATAATAGGTTAATTACGCAAAGTGCAAATTATTCTATTGGTCTTCAAACGGTGAAACGCGGACACAAGGTCGCTCACGCTTAGCCATTGGTGATAGTTTGGTGAGTAGGTCTCCTGCTGAAATCCGATGAATGGAACATTACACATAAGAGAAATGAGGAAGAAAGCACAGTATAGCTGAAGCCAAATAAGAAATTTTAGGGCCTGAAAACTAGGGGTGTGCAAAAGAACCGGGAACTACCCGGACCGCCTGGGACCAGCCGGAACCAAACTAGAACCGGTGGTTCCTAGGGAAACTGGTTCAGTTCCCGATTCCAATTTTTGGGAACCGGTATATACCGGTCCGGTTCCCGATTCCAGGTGTGGAACCACCCGCCCGCCCGGACCGGTAATATAATAATAAATGTAATATATTTTTTATTTTTTTATTTTTTTTATAAAAAGAAAAATCCTAAATCCCAAAACTAAACCTAACTCACTCGACGCTCACAGCCTCACATTGAGCCGAGATACACCTTATTTCGCTTTCATCTCATGCTCACTCTCACTCTTTCACTCTTCTCGGTCGATGCTCACCTCACCTTCTCCGATACTCAATCTCCGTCTCCATCTTCGACACTCAATCTCCGTCTCCGTCTTCGTCTTTTCGTCTCCGTCCCTAGCTAGTGGGACTGGTTCCATGGACCCGCCCGGGAACCGAACCGGACCGGCGGTCCGGTTCACGTGCGGTTCCTGATTTCAATTTTTTGAAACCGGTCCCTAGTGGGCGGTTCCCGGTTCTAGGGTGGGAACCACCCACCCGGACCATGCTCACCCCTACTGAAAACTGCAGATGGTACAACCATCAATCATTTCATTGTTTTCAAAATCTATCTCCCAATTCTATGAGAGAAAATCAATACAATCCCCGAAAATCTAGACTTCAAACAGTTTAATTGACCGCTTCTACAAAAACACCAATCCAGCAATTCAAGCCTAGTTTTCTATTGGCAGTAGATCCAGGATATATTACTTGAGACAACATGGAGCAGCCTGTGATCTTATCTATGAATCCAATGTGCGATACTTGCTGTTTATACTTCAAATTTCACGAAGTTTTTCACGTTGACCCTCTCTCATGTGACTTAGAGGATCAACCCATTAGCTAATGTATCTCATCAAAATTTGGAGTTATATTGAGACAACGCAAATCTGGTTTGTGACAGCATGCGGATAATACCCAAGCAGGTTGACAATTTCAATTCAACTCTTAAACAGAAAAAAAAAATCATTTTTAATTCAAAAACAAAACAAACCAAAGTAAAAGCAACCTCACTGCCTAGTTTCTTCACATAGGACGCGGAGCAGCTATTTACTTAACTGACTGTCAACCTATAAAGATTGAAGGAAGTTGTATCTCAGGAAGTGAAACGGTAAGTACGCAAAACCAGGAAAACCGGAGTGAATCTTCAAGATTAGAATGCATTCCACTTCCATGGGCAGCAAACAAATTGAGCAAAGAAGGAACATGATAATGGAACCTAGGAACAACTACGAACTTGAGGTTATGAACTCATGGGAAGCTAATCCAGCTTCAAATAACACTAGCTTGCCAAGCTGTCGTGTCAACTATAGGCAATGAGGAAGACTGCAAATAACATTTGGCAATCAGCAAATGCATACTTCATATGAACATTAGCAGATTAAATGACACTATAGCCATCATGCCGCACTCATGTATCATGCCACGTCAAGGAAAACAGTATCTGACAAACAAGGATACCAATTGATCATCGCTAAGATGGTGAGAACCAAAGTCCTTGCAACATTGGGATACATACAAAAGCAGGCAAAGAACCAGCACAAGTTTCAAAAGCATGCAGGCCTCATTTCATGCCATATAAACTCAATATCCAGGACTCTGATCTAAAGACACCAAAGAAGTCCCATCAGATAAGCTTTTACCAGTGAAGTTTGCAACGTATATACACTTAATGAAGCAGCAGCAACAGCAACAGCAAGCTTCACCCAAAAAAATGACATTTCTCCTTCTACCCTAACCTTCTCCATTCTAAGTCATCATAGGCAACAAAAAATTCCACCTGAGCATGACACTCAGCGCTTTCTTGATTCATAAGCCTCCAGGATCGCCTCCGCCACGAGATGGATCAATTCGGCCCGCTCCGCAAGAGCTGCCAGTTCAGCCATTCGCAACTTCCCCCATCTCTCCTCCAGCTCTGCCCTTTCCTTCCTCTCGATCAATCCCAGACCAGCCCTCAGAAATCCCTCATCAACCCCAACAGCACTAGACCTCTCAATCTCGCTCAAGAACCCAGAAAAGTCCACTCCTCCAGGCATTTCGTCGAACACGAGCAGCTCGGCCTTCAGCGCAGCCAAAGCCGTCCCATCACCCCTCCCAGCCCCACCATCGCCATCACTTCTCGCGCTCGACTCGCCCTTCACCTCATCGCCCCACAGCTCCCTCGACAACCCATACGCCGCCAGTTCCTCCGGCGACATGGCCCGCTTCTTCTTGCCCAGCCCATCGCGGTCCCCGTACTTGGTCTTCAAGTGATACACCTTCTTCCTCACCTGATCCTTCGTGTAGAAGGTCTCCAGGTCGCTGCTCACGAATTTGTAGATGTCGTCCCAATCGTAAACTGGGTTCTCCTTCTTTCGCGCGGAGAACTCGAGCAGTCGCCTCAGGACCCGCAATTCGTCGGCTTTGCTCCAAGATTTCCTCATCGGATCGGGACCCTTCTTGGCCCTCGTCCCTCTTCGGGATTTGGCCGTCTCTTCTTCATCGTAACCTTCTTCTTCTTCTTCTTCTTCATCGGGGTCTCCTGCTCTGTCGTTGTCATGGGCTTGTGTCAGCGCAGATGCTTCGTCTTCCGACGACGGAAACGCCGGCGGGGACTCCATTGGGAGAAAGAGATGGGCAATCCGGCGCGTTGGGTGGGGGAGTATTTGAGCTTCGAATTTTCTTTTATCTTCTTTTGGCATGATAAAAAAGTTAAAAAAACACAAAATCTTAAACTTATGAAATCTTTTACTAATTGTAAGATATTTTACTAATCACATTAATATTTAAATTTTGTTCATACTTAACAAAATATCAAATTGGAATTGTCTCTTTTGTAATTATATTTTAGTAAATGTGTTAGGAAATCACTGAAAATCCTTATTTTCCGCGATAATGAATCTTTAAGAGGAAGGAAAAAAGTTTTCTCTACAAATTTTTTTTATGTTTGATGAGTCGAGTTTGTGTAGTTTTATTTCCTCAATATTTTTTTTTATAATATAGTGTACTTAAACGTTTTGCTCGACTGAACCTCATGTATATGCAATCCATTCAACGCATACGTAATGAGCAAGATTCAACCTACATGATGGTGAACCTTGTTCCCATCTATATTCGCGATATTGGAGAAAATATGTATTAACAGCAAAGCAATTCCAAAAATTGCTCTCAACCTAATCAAGACTAGTCAAACAATTCTTGTACTCTTGGCAAATGTAGCAAGAGTTTCCAAAGTTGACATTGTATAGAGGATTTTATCTTGCCATGTATAGAAGCTGTAGATCGGGAATGTTATTATATTGTAGCTATTCTAGCTAATGTCTTTTTACAAACCAATAGTTACCTTTACTTTAAATACATGTAAGATATAAACGACATCTTGTCCAATTCTTCATGGTATTAGAGCTTGCTGCTCACAAGCATATTGTTCAATCTTTTTTTTCAATGGCAGAAGAATCCTCAAACACCATTGTTCCTACGATAGTCACTTCCCCCTCTTCAAATAACGCTACCGTGCTTGTGTCGATCAATGTAGCTGTACAACTATCCCTCAAGTTAACATCGATGCAATATACTTCATGATTGGCTTAGTTTAATTCTCTGCTCCTGGGCTATGATATAATGGGGTTTATAGATGGAACCATATTGTGTTTGTCTAATACAATTACTACTGATGGTAAAACAATCGTCAATCTATCTTATTCTCATTGGGTACACCAAGATCAACTATTGCTCAATGCAATCATAGCTTCCTCTTCGGACTCAATCACGCCTCTCATTGCTTTTGCCAAAACAGCACACAAGGCTTGAAACAAACTTCCGCATCAATTTACCAACAAGACACGTTCATGTGTCATGAGTCTCAAGGAGCGTTTGCTACAATTCTCCGAAACGGTACATGATTGACTACAAGTAGAGATATTTCAAGTCAAGCAAAACTCAGATGGTATCATAGCTCTGTACAAGGCACGACTTATCGCCAATGGATTCTATCAACGGCCAGAACTTGACTATGATCATTCTTTTATGATAACACATTTAGTCCAATTGTTAAAATTACCACAATATGGTTCATCATTTGTCTAGCATTATCAAACAGTTTGCCCCTTCTACAATTCGATGTCGACAATGCCTTCTTATATGGCACTTTTTGAAAGAAGTCTATATGCATCAACCACCAAGTATTGTCGATCAGTCACATCCTAATCACAAATGTCGATTGAAGAAGGCTATTTGCGGTCTTAAACAAACCCCCCGCGCGTGTTACCAATCACTCAGTTCCTTTGGCATCTCATTTATATCCATCCAATCCACATCAGTTTCCTCACTTTTTACATATAAACATGATGACATCATTGCTTATTTCTTGATTTATGTAGATGATTTGATCTTGACATGAGTGATGCAAATTTTTTGCAAAAGTTTGTGAGAGCTCTTGCAACCAAATTTTCACTAAAGGATCTGGGGATCTACATTACTTATTTGGAGTTCCTTTTTTGGTTGAAACTTATTGGGAGTTGAGGTGTTACGCAAAGTGTGGTCTCTTTCTCACACAACACACACACATATATAATGGACATTCTTGATCAAACAACCATGTTAGGAGCCAAGGAGATTGTCACCCCAATGGCTACTGATAGCTCTTTCACTCTTGTCGATGGTTCACCTCATATAGATGCAACTAAATATAGGAAGATTATTGTTGCTCTTTGATAACTTGCATTCGTAAGGTCTGAAATTGCTTATGTGGTCAACAAACTCTATCAGTTTATGCATCAACCGACCGAGTTACGTGGAGTGCTATAAAACGTGTTTTACGTTATTTCAAAGGGATTATCAATCTCGACCTGCACTTGCACAGTAGCCCCTTTATCGCTTCATGCATTCTCGGATGCTGATTGGGTAGGCAATCCGAATAACCGTAAGTATACAACCTCCTACATTGTTTATATTGGCCAAAATCCTATATCGTGGTGCTCTCGAAATCAACGATTAATTGCTCGTTCGTCTATTGACATCGTGTATCGTGCCATTGCTACGACAACTTTTGAGCTCACATGGGTTCGATCTCTCAATCACATCAATATCGGTCAAGTAATTCTTGTACTCTTGGCAAGTGTAGCGAGAGTTTTCAAAGTTGACAAACTCATTTTATCTCTCTTTGTATAGAGGATTTTATCTGTCTATGTATGGAGGCCGTAGCTCAGGAACTTTATTTTGTTGCTTTTATTCTAGCTTATGTCTTTCTATAAATCATTAGCTACCTTATACTTTAAATACATGTAAGAAATAACAATAAAGACATCTTGTCCATTTGCTCATACGAGATTGTTGCTTCGAGATCACATGGCTTAAGTGCCTGGCCAACTCTTTATAGATAAAGGCTTCGCAATTTAGAGTCAATGTCACCATGTAATCGATTCACCTATCTCAGTATGCTTTGTTTCTAACTAGTAACTAGTTCACACGTTTAAGAAATTCACAAACTCAATGCAAGTATAAAATGGTATTCGAAAATAATGAAATTTTTCGAGTGATTCGGATTTGAATTCCATGTAAAATAGGATGCTTAAGGAAATGCGGAATTGGATTACCAAACAATAGTTAGTTCACAAGCACAAAATTACTGAAAACCTAACTCCATTGCCTTCGGCTGCGTGTTGCCTCGATCGGATGTACACAATATATAGTTTCATATCCCACTCCATTGTTTATATGCCAAATTAAACTAAGGAATGCCTAATGATGCAACCAAATAAAGTCGAACATACATTTGAATATTTGATCATGTACCATAGAAATTCCTTTCTCACTCCATTTCATTTCTGCCTGCCAAGCACGGTCGAAAGTGACCAGCCGCCTCATATTCCGCCTCTCTCATGTCACTTATCGAAATAAACGGAGTTTGAAAATCATAATCTATCGATCGGTCAGTTCAATTGATACTTGAGAAACAATAAAATCAATAAGACCAAGCCTTTCGGGTTTCGACACCATTACTTCGATAATCTCGTCACTTAAATAGACACAATCCATCTCGACCCGGATGCGTCCGAGCATATATCCGGTTCGAATCAATGGTACCTCTCTAAATTCGAACCCGATTCCAAGATCGCCCGGATCCGAAAAATGCCGACCCGGACTTCTCCGGCCCATGTGCACATCTGGCAAAATCGGAGGCCCAATCAGGGCCCACTTCTCTCCCCAACGTTAAACCGCTCGATCTCATTTTCAAAAATTTTCGAATTCAATCTCTCTCTCTCCCTCACGCTCCCCCCCGCCTCCCCTTCTCTCTCTCTCTCTGCGCAGGCCTGTGCTCTCCCAGACCCACCTTCGATTTCGTCTCCGGAATCGCTCGGAGAAGCCGACCCTCGTGGCGTTTCGCCGTAGGAGCTCCGGTTCCGCGTCTGGGTCGGCGGGAACCTGACTCCGGCTGGCGCCCCCACCGGCCGCCTCGAACCCTGACCGTCCGGGGGTCTTCGCGGGGTTTTCGCCGTCTCCTCTCGATGTCGTCGCGCAACCAGAACAGGCCGCCTCGCAGCCCGAGCGCCGTAAGTATCGGTCCCCGCCCCCGACCTTTTGTGGTTTTCGTCTGAAGGCTCGATGTCGCATCGAAATTGGATGGGTTTCTGGTGTGTTTGCACTTTGGCGGGGCCAATTGGTTATCTTTCATTTTGTAGCTGCTGCTCGCTTTCTTACTGATCTGAAACACGGTGCTCGCAGAATGATGGGTTGTTCTTCAATCTGGTCGAAAACCTCGAAATTACCTTTAAGAATGAAAACACGGGCCTTAGGATATGTCTATAACCATCGTCCTATCCTCATTTTGTGTCCATTCATAAGGTGCTTAGTCTGCAGCTTCGTGCAGAGCAATTGGTAGTATGTTTACATGTCTGATTCTGTATGTTTTGTATGTATGGAAGCCTCGTTTGCCCGGCCACCACCATGAGTGCATGAATTGACTCCTGTAGGACTGTTGTCTAGCTTGATATGTGATCTCTTGTGGAAAATAAACAATTGAAACACGAATAAGGGATTGCTGTTAGAGAAAGAACGGGGGTGATGAAATTGGAAATAGGTTTTGAGGTGCGTCGTTATCCGTGCCGTATGGGATGCTAACAGAAAGTAACATACCCTCGAAAATGCAATAAAGCTTCTCAAAAATCTGTCTTGACAGAATTATATTTAACACGATGGATGCTCCGTTTTGAATGTTTCAGTTTTTGATGCAAGTTAATTTAACTGTGTTTTGGGTTTCTAGAAGAAGGGTGCTTTGGTAGAAGTACCCTTGGACAAACGTAGGCGAATTGGTGCAGCAAGAGCAACTGGTCCAACAAGCTCTAGCCGTGCACGACAGGCTTTCTCTGATGTGAATATTAAGCAAGATGCAACCACCCACGGAGAAATGGCAAGTACAGAGGGTTTGGAGAATATTTCTGTTGAGTTCACGAAAGAAGAAGTAGAGACATTGGTGAATGAGAAGCCGAAGACCAAGAAGTTTGACCTCAAGGTTGTGTTCGCTTTTGAAAAATTTTCTTATGCAAGTATTCGAATGCTTATTCTCTCTCTCTTGACAGGGTAAATTGGAACATATGACTGACCACAATAAGAGACTAAAGCTTTGTGTTAAGTGGTTCCAACGAGTTGACGAAGGCCACCTCCTAGAGGAGGAGA